TTCAATTTCTCGAGGGCATAAACATCCCCTACAAGATACCATGTAATCTTGTTTCGTTAAATCTTCGACAAAATTGTCGCAAGACGTTTCATTTTATGATAGTCTTTCAACACATTCGTTGTGGATCGAAGGCCATGGACATCGTGAATGAAGTAAATAAAAATAATATTAATAATGCGAATCCGTGTTGCATGCATATCTCCAAAATCACAGCCAACTTGGATCCACAATGAACACGTTAATTATCCTCGAGAAATGATCGACGAATGTTGTACAGTAACGTGTGATGAATAATCTTGATCCAAGCGAATTTCCCCGGTGTGAATCTTCGCGAGAAGAATGAGAGAAGGCGGCGGTTCCGCCTTAAAATTCTATTTACAAAAGTTACACGGCGAAAAGGGAGGAGACCGAATGTTTCCTGCTCGGCTGTCGAGGCATCGAGGGATTGATTGATCCAGCGGAGAATCGTGATTAACCCTTTGCGGATGTAATACTCTCAGCTTAGGTTAACATAAGTAATATTTCGTCATCGAAGCATGCGTTACAAATTTATAACGTCCATATCTATGATCTTCTTTCAAGAAACCTAAGAAAATATTTCTTCGCTTAAAGTTAAAATAAGTATTATTTCAAATCACGCGTTACAAATTTATAACGTCCGTATTTTCGTTCGCGTTAAGAACTATAAAATGTGGTTTATGAAGCGACTATGATGATTTTTATTGAACAGATGTACACAGGGTTCGATCATCCGCGAAGGGTTAATTAACGCGATGGGGGAACAGCATGTTTCACACCACGAACAGCTGTCTATTTTCATGAAAAAAAAGATGTCGTAAATAAAATAACGAAAGCGATCAGATCTATCGGACGCGAGGATTTATCATCGTCTGCGAACACAGTTGGGAAAATAATGATTGTACGCGTGTCACGTGGGGAATAAATACGCAAAATAATCGTGAGGCTCGTTCGTCTTATGCTAAATTGAGATTTCAGCTGAGATATTTTGCTGGGTCACGTGTACGCGAAGACGCGACACGTGTATCGCGTTCCTATGATAAGTCTGAACCCTTTGCACATTCACGTGTAACGTTGCGATTATTGACTCCGTGTTGTTTGTCATTTGCATGATAAGCAGCATCATAGATAACTCGACAAACATTGACCGTTGTTTCCTTTTTTTATGATTAAAGTGTTGCTGATAAACCGGATCGAATCGGGTCAAAATGAAATTCCAGTCAAAGAATTAATTATTAATCGACCGTCTAGACTTATATTTAACAATGGTTTTCTATGCAAATCTTATAGTCATTTGTTAAAAACAGGTAAAGAAGAATCAGATCTATCATTCAGGTCATAAAAATAAATTCTATAAAAATAATACTGCCAATTTCCATAAGTTTGCGATGAATACGAGAAACCCCGTTCGATTCGTATAAATCATTTGAAGAGGTTCATAGTCCAATGGATCATATATTTAAAACACATATATATTTAAAATTTTGTATAATAATTAAATTATCGTATGGTAATTAAATTATGAGTGGTATTTACATTTGTGAAATAATTCAACCCTTAAGTACTATGAGAGGGTTAGATTTAATGAACGCTTTATGATGTTCATAACACGAAGCTAGAAGTGTATCAGAATCATTAAAAAATTAACGAAGAGCTAAAAATAATGAACACGATTTAATTATAGAACACGTTTGTTTTTTCTCTCTTGGACTATGAACGTGTTAAATATCGTGATAAAAATTTTATAAAACTGAAGCAACGGAGAGTGAGGCAAGTGCAAAGGGTTATCGAACTAAAAATAAAAGAGGTGACAGCTTATTTCCGCGGTTGAAGAGGGAACGACCGTCGAACGGATGATTCGTCTTTAAACAGGCGTGTCCGTTTTCTCGTCCTTCTTCGTCTCCTTCACGTCCGTACGGCCGTTCACGTATTCCGTGCTCGCGTGTATCGGATTCTCCTGGCCACCCTGAGGTATTTTCTCGTCGATGATACGCGGGTCCTCGTGATCCTCCTCGTCCTCGTCCCCAGGTGTGATGTGCGCCTCGCTTCCGGCGCCGACACCGCTCGCAGCTTCCTCGTCGCCCCGACGCCTCGCTGCAACAAGCAACGCCACGATCGGTCAAGGCAAAAGTGTGTGCGTGGATCTTTTTGTTTGTTCTATCTCTTTTTTTTTAATTTTCATTTAAATTTCACTTGTTTCTTTTTTTCTCTGCAAGCGTTTGCTTTTGGCTAATAGAAGTGTCTTTTTCTTTAGCGGCGCGATCATTTACGGACTAATCTACTTCTCGATTAAATCACGTCGTGCTAGGACTTACAGGTGCTGCTATCGATAAGTTATTGATACTTTGTATCGATGGCAACACCTCTATTGGGACTGTTTGCGATCAGGCTTTTAGCAAACGCACGAGCTTTTCCTTTTCCAGAGAGATACGATTTTGGGTGAACAAATTATAAAATTGTGAATCTTAACACTTTGACGATTTATTATTAAATTGCTGGATTTTTACATTATGGGCTCGATGTCACTTGAGGTGTATCGTAGGGGTCTGGTTGACACGACTGACAAAAATTTTCTAAACAATATTTAACTCAATTTACGCCAAATTATTAGTATACATCGGTCAATTAAATAATTTTTATAAAACAAGTTCGTGCATATAGAGCATAACTTTCAAAATGAAAACGAGCAATAAATATTCATGCGCTTGTTTAATAATAAATTTATTTTGAAGTTTCAATGATAAATAGTTTAAATTAATTTCTCTTTGAAATGCTTTATATCACTATTTATACATAGATAATAGAAACTTTTGCAAATCCTTGTCAATCGTGTTAAATTAACCCGTACCGTATACGTACCTCCGAAAAGCAGTACACATCTCTCTTGTAACAATTACCAAAAACTAATACCTGTCTCTATTCCTGTATCTACAATCACTATCTACTGTAATGATTAATTAAAAGCAGGAATCGTTGATCTCTCATGTAGCTCGGGCGTTTGCGTTCGATCATGGATCGTTAATATAATTAATAATAACATTCACAAGCAAGTCATCGCACTAACGTAGTATCTGAATTCAAGCAAGGTATAAATGCGAATAAACGTGAGCGTGACAGAACTCTGGACAGATCGGTAGTCGACTAATTGTAACATTACACAATTGAAACTTAGTATTTGTCAGGACGAAAACAGAGATTGCAAAGGGGTTGATTTGCGAGCGGGTTCGAAAGGGTTGATATACGTACATGCTTACATCGGAATAGAGGGAAACGATGCGTTCTAATCTCGTATCTAAACCGAAGGAAGGAAATAGACGCGTATAGAAAAAAAATTAAAAATAATTGAACATCGACAGGATTTGGTCGTTTGATTTCGAACAAACGTCACCACACTTGCCTTCGCCGATTGCTTATCGTTGCTTGTCGCAAAGGAAACGTTCTCTATTCACCCCATAGGGATTTTAATTAGCACGTATCTCATGGGAAATTTGTTGGACAAAGTGTCGTAGCTAACATTATACCCTGAGTCAGTGTTTTTCAGATAACTTCCATTGCCTATTTCAAACCCTAAATTTTTTTTTAAAAGCCACTAAAATGTTTTAACAAAGGCAAACAAAAATTACAAGTACAGCAACAAATTACTAATTCGAATGGTAATTAATTTTAATTAGAAATTGTTATTTGGTTGAGAATAATAATACTGAATTTAGTTGCCAAATTAATATTCATGATGAATTTTCTAATATGCAACTTTCACCTTAACAACAAATAATATTCTGGTATTTACTAAAGAATGTGTTATCACGTTTAGAATTGACATCTTTTGCAACGAAAGGGTTAAAAATCAGAATTTCAAAGTGTCTAATGCATTGTATAAAATTTATTTCTAATAATATGAATTTATAATCGTTCCAAAAAGAGGTTGAAGGGGAAGAGATATTGAAAAACACTGGTACGAGAAACAGATAACGAAGAATATTAGAGTATAAGTATCGTATTAGTACATGCGGTGGAACTCGTAAGCACAACGTGCATGCACAAATTATGATTGAAACATGTATGTTCGTGATCGAGTGAAATTAATCTTCATCGTTCAACAAGAACACGAACTGTATATTTAAATCAGATATTTTCTCACTCAATATTTTTTAATGAATTTTAAAATTTTCAGTACACAAACGTATTAAAAGGTTTAAGGGTAAAATATAAAGATTACATCTGCAATAAAAATCTTGCGAATTTTATTAATAAATGATCGAGCGATGTTTTTCTAAAAGCACGTATTTTGGTTGAAAATATATTTACAGAGTGATAATCCGATAAACGAATTATTCCGAATAATAAAATTTAAATTTGTCCATTCGTCACGCGATTCTCGATTACATTCGCTGGATTTTTGTCATCAATAATAATCGAACTCTCGATGTTTATTTCTATTTCGAACACATCTGTTCTTTTCTACACTCGTGACATTCGGATTTAAAAAAAAATGAAACGAAAAATAACAGAATCGTTTATTGGACTACATTCGCGATCCAAGGGGACTTTGTTTTTGAACTATTCCGCTCTAATCACTCGATAGTTATTGAGTTTATCGTTTGCTTTTTCAATAAAACCGAAACGCGAGTATTTCTCTTTAACTGAAAAATACTACCTTTACAATTGTTTTATGTATGAACGATGCTTTGAAAACACGGTGACGTTAACGAATGTTAAAACTCAAAAATCATAGATAAAATTGAATTCATAATCTTCAGTGAAATTTGATTTTTACAATGTGTTTTAGATTTCAATTGACTCGATCAAATAGTAACTATATAAAAATTTCAATTTTGTTATTTAGTCAAATGGATAATTTAAGATTGATCTAATATCATAACTGATATTTCATATAATTAATAATAAATCTTATTATTAATCTTATTTCCACGTTTTCGATTGACGATAAAACGTTTCCACGCTATGATTATTATTTTTCTAAGGGACATTGAAATCTGGTGCAGCGATCATCGTGTTTCTCGTCGATGGTTCGAGATCAGGGACGATAACGTGTGGATGCTGATAAAAAATGGTTAACAAATGACGAGCAGATGATGAACGAAGAACGAGCAATACTTTTTTTTTTCTGTTGCAGAGGGGGTGTTGTTTTTCTGCCTGAGGTGACTTACCCCTGGACAGTGTCATGCCTAGAGTACGGAATCGCAAGGTAATTGTTGTTGTTTCTCCTTATTCTTTACTTGGCCCGACTTGCATGCTGTCCTATCGGTAGCGGCACAACACACAAGACATTTGTATACATACAGGTATATAGAAATCAAATAATAGACACTTATATATTAGATTGGTGTACAGCTGGCAGAGATCCTTTTACTATAATAGTCAGCACACACGCACACGTATGTTTGCCTTAGGAATTTTTCTTTTCGAATTGTTTAACTCGTTGATCCTTTAGTAACTTAAAATAGAAAAGAAATTAATATTTATATAATAATCTGAGTTACTTTAACCCTGTACAATTAGACTGTCACAAATTAAATGGATGATTCTAAAACATAGGAAGTTAGACATGATTTCATGACAGAAAAGTATTGCAAAATAATGCTTATGATATATGGATTTAAAGTTTAAAGTTCGATGAAAGTGACTACATAAACGTTTCATCGATATTTTCCAAAAAAAATGGCTGGCTCTCAAATATAATTCTCTCAGGAATTAATTTTTCTTTATGAGAAGCTATCTAAAATTAAAAGAATTATTGATTGTTTATGTAATTATTTTCATCAATCTTTAAGGTTCAAATCGATATACCATAAGTGTTATTTTAGAATAATTTTATATTATCAAATCATTTTAGACTTTATACATTTTGAAATCGGTCATTTAATGTACAATAGCCTAATATTATAAAAAAAGAAAAGAAAAATAATCATAAAAAGATGCTCTTTTCATATAGCATTCTCGTAATGAATATCCATTTGACAAAATTTTACTTTCCTTCTCGTCTATTTCTAATTCGTAGTTGATCATATTATCTACAGCTATTACGTAGTCAAGTAGCAAGTGTACACGAAAAATTGCCAACAGGGACAGGGGAACACGTGGTTAATACAAAGTATATATTTTAAAGAGAAAATTTATTAAAACGAATACTCACCTGCGAAGCACCAGCGTCCGGTCGCACGGGCAAAAATTAGTATGAAAACGATGAGAATTAGCACCAGGGCTCCGACAACGATGCCAATGATAGAACCAGCATCTAAATCTACACCTGAAATTTCGAAGAAAACTATAATGAGGCTCGATGCATTTGTATTTCTCTCGAATCTATTAATCATTACATTTATCAATTTTTAAAGACCTACAATTATTTTCGTAAAATATAATCCATCCAATCAACTGTATAAAGTATTAAGTATAAAGAAATAGACATAGAAATAATCTAATGTTGAAATGTTAAAAATCATGCGTCAGTTATTTGACAAAAATGCATTAATGCTTATGTGGAACAAGCCAGTAAAATAAGCATAAATGCTTTTAAAAGAGAAAATTTTAAACATCCTCGACAGAAATCAAAATGTATTCATTATTTTGCACATTGATGATTGAACAGGTGTTTGATACAAAGCAAGCGTAAAATCTTGGTTTATTCAAAAAAAAAAAAAAAATGATTGAACACGAATCGATAAGCGTTAAAAGCCTTTTACATTTAGAGATGAAATCACACGTTCGATGCAACAAAAAAACCAAAAAATGTGTGCGCAAAGAAATCGATGGCACATGGTTTGTGTTTCATTTCGGCAAAGTGTTGATTCGTATAGAAGCGGATCATATGGAAATTCAGTCGCGTTTATTTAAAAAAAAGACCAAAAAAAAAAAACAAATTTGCCATTCATGTTTACAGTGATATCGATGACAAACGTAACGTTACGCATACCCACGTTTCGCAACGTGAAGTTCCATTCACGGAGATTTTTGTGTATTTATAACATGGCTTTCGAGCAAAACGGTGACACGGTTTGGAAAAAAAAAGAAATAAAAGAAACAAAACGAAAAATATTGGTTTATCGTGTGTGCAATTTTTGTTCGACAGCGCAAACAGAACAATGCCTCCAGAGAAACATGAATTTCATGATTAAAAAATAGCATGCCATCTTGAACTTTTACAAAATTGAAAACGCGCTAACAAATATTTTTTTTTCTGTTTTATTACTGAATTCACTTTGAATACGGAGAACAAAAATATTGGACAGAAATTGTTTGCCTTTGATCAGAGAATTTTTAACTGATGAAATATCATGGTATTCTTTTTGTAAATACTATTGCAAATTAAATTTTATATCAATCTGAATAATAGGAAAAGAATTTCAATTTCAGTCAGAAATTTTTAATTATTCACATGTGGTAGTAAATGATATACTAAAAAATTATTTAATATTTTTAGTAGGCGTCCAACGTGTTAATTAAAATTTACACGCGATAATTAAAATTTAAAAATTTGTTACATTCAGATTTGTCATTAGTGACCATCATAACAGTCGAAGTCTCAAAGATACCGTGTGATTTATAAGTAATGTAAATATTCATGGAACTTCACGCGTGCAAGACTACACTGACTCTACTTACGTATATTAATTTGAAAAAATGACATTACCTAGTGCGTGCATGTGTTCGGAGAGCTTACCATAGAAGTGGCTGAATGCCCCTGCGTGACAGCATGCGGTGAAGGATCGAAATGATTAGATACACATAGCACAAGTATACGAAAGTGACACGCAGAAAATGAAACAAAAGTGTATTTTAATTCGTGTATCCGATAAAATTTTTGCACGTGACGATAACTGATCGAGTACGTGATGGTGACAATAAACGGTGACGTAAATCGATGGACAGCTTTAGTGAATATGCTCGATGAAATGGAGGTGACAAACACGATGTGTGAGGACTAACAGCGTGATGGACAGCTACCAACGAATTAAAATCATTTATCCGTCATCTCATTGTGGTTTTGAATTTTTTATCATCTTGTGTCTATAAATTCTTCTATTTATTCTTCCATTAAAAACTGTTATTTTGATAGTTTTATCTCAAAGAAAAATTCTAAGTTGAGAATTGAACAGTTCAGTTCAGATTTCAATGCAATTGGAGGTTTGATATGATTTGCACGCTACTTCGGTGCATGAGGTGATGATTTGTGGTATTTTAATAGTGAATTTTTTTAATTAATTTGTTTCTTACCTGCGGGTTCTGTGGATGTCGACAAAACGATACGGTATTCGTTAGCTCCTTCATCGTTGCGCGCTTCTAGGATGTATGCCTTTTCTGTATCAGATTTCTGAACACTATCAATTCTGAGGATAGCGCTCCACGCTCCTCTTCCCTGTAAGATAGAAATATTTTTGTGGCATTTAAAACTTTTGTTGCATTCCAATGTTTCTAAAGAACGAAATTTGAAAATTAGAAATTTAGCTTAAGAAAATTCAATACAAAATTGAAAAATTAACTCCAATTTTTTATTCAATTATTTTAACACTGAAATGGTTATAACTTTCATGAAAATTATAGGAAAATCAGTAGCTAATTAATGTACATTTCTGCATATTTGTCAAACATATTTCCATCAGAATAAATTTTTGCCTAATTTACTGTACCCTGTAGAAAATTCAAGTACATCCATGAAAGGGATGAAAATTTGTAGTTAACGTTCCACAAAATTCCTCGATTTTAAATGTCTGGCATTTCAATATTTAGCAATGTCGAAAACCTTCGAAATCCTATTTAGAGCTTAAAATGAACTCTTCTGATTTTTTCACTCGACGATTGAAAATACCTCTTTCAATTGATCGATCAACGTTTCCAGCTGAAAGATTTGTCGTCGTTTTTTCGTATCGGTCAGCTAAAGGTCAAAAAAGGTTTTCAATGGGAAAAAAACAAAAAGAGAAAACGCAACTCTCGCCGTTGATAATTGCGTTCCCGCAGAAAACTGATTCACATTCGTCGATGCCGGGATCGGTTGCAGTTTTCACCGAGCAAACCCAGCTTTTTGAAGGCTATTCATGTTACAACTGGCAAGCGGTTTCGAATGGAGGCTTTATTGGTTTCTTTTTCAACGATCCTGTTACCGACTCTAGCGTCGAACTTTATGTTAGCCTTCATTTGATCGATGACTGGCTGCTGCACACCTCTTTGCATTTAAATGACACTTTAATTTCGAACGTTGACGAATCCCGGCTTCCAATTGGCCCCGCTCTCTCGTTCGTATTTTACAAATTTCTCGAATTGATATTCCCTGTACTACGAAACGGTCTGAAGTGTGCACGCGCATACATGAATTTTAATTTGATCCCAAATGTCATGAATTTGACGTTGGTCGCTCGATTCTGGCATTTTTATAAATGCCATTTGTATGAAAATTTATTATCCGTTCGTTCGAATACTTTAAATCGTCTTTTTTTTTTTAAACAACCTTTTTATCATTCGAGAAGAAACTAATGTACGTGAAAGTTGTCAACATCTATGATAATTTTCTTTTGCAAACAATGTTTGTTAATAAATAGAATACTGTAAGGTTGAAAAATATCTTAATTTTGTTAAAAATATCAAAACAAATCCTTTTTATCTTCTTTGTCTAAATATTGACGCGTTGATTAAATATTTTAACGAGAATTCTTGCTGGCAGTGTTTCAACAGCAGACGAACGAAACTTTCGAAACCCATATCCGGTGAATTGAATTATTTTAAGCGATTGCTTGTTCGTATCAAGTGGAATTTCATTAAAGCTTTTTGATTAGCGAGAAACTTTGCAAATACGTGAAAAACGTTAAGTGCACAGTGCAAACGGTTGCTCTGGAATGCGAAACCTTTGTTCCATTAACCTTCTTGTTCTCCAACCCCATTTCCCTCGTTTGCTCTTCTTTTGTCGCTCTTTCGACCAGTTAAACTTCCGCTAAATTTCATGTTACATTCTTTACTTCCTAATTTTCAATAGTTTTTAACTTCTTCAACTTCTTCAACTTCTTTTCTAAACGTCAAAGAACTAGAACAATCGGTGAAACGTTTTACTGATAAGATTCTATTAAACTTTCAAAGTAAGAGGACGGTTTTTTTATCCGACTGTTGAATTCGTTCACCTCTGAGAAACTTTTAGAATCGTTTCATGCATATTACAAGTGTAACGTCCATATCTTGTTCTCCACTCTGTTCATGCTATTTTCAACTGCATTTTTCTTTTAATACTTTATCAGCTCTAGCTATTGTAGGATTGGTGATTTCTGTATGCCTATTTCATTTTATATTTTATAGATAA